GATGAGGGCAATGAATGTACAAATGCGTTTTACACAATTGATGTATGTATGGATTGTGATAAGAGTCGTATGAGCCCCTAATACAACGATTAAAAAAAACAACAACAACAAATCACAAAACCAATATGCAGACACCGGCAAGTGCAGCAGACGGATTTGAACGTCAAGCCAGAAGTCTTCAAAAGCCCAGGACAGTGGACAGGACACTTACTTGGTAATCAATCCACAGCGTATCTTCCTTTTCACGGGGCAATATTCGTGCGTCGAACCTCAGTTCCAGATGCTCTGTAAAGGAGGGCACATGAGTGGCTATTAAACCAGCCTGCTGATGGAAAAACGGGTTTTTGGTGATAATTGACCGAGCTGGATTTTGAAGCCTCCTACTGATGCTTAGTCTATTTCATAGCTTATAGAGATCATCGTAATAGCAGGAGTTGAATTATAATCAAATGAACATTAACCGAGTCATTTAATAAATAAGCTTGAGAGTTTAGGATAAGCAATTGCTTCTGAGGGTGTTACCCTAAATTAGATTTTAGGACACGCCAAAATAGAAGTGAGCTGGCTAGCCATCAGCTGGAGTTGTGAACAGTTATCTTGTGTCTGGCTGCTAGCTGTGAAGTTGGAGGATTGAGTGCATCCAGAAGCACCTCGGAGGAAAGGCCTGGTAAGCTGCTTCCTGAAAATCCAGCCAGTGAAAACCCGGAGGAGCACAGGTCTTCTGATACTCGGGGTCGCAGCGCGTCAGAACCGGCCCTGGCAGCTGGCTTTGAAGTTATCAGAGAACATTTCACATCTCAATATTAGCAAACTTTTATTGGCACTTTTACTTTCAGGTATATGCAAGTCTTTTCCTAGGTAATCAGAAAAATTTAGGGACCTATTTTAAAAGTGTGACAATCAGCTTCTCAGCTTATTTTAGCAGGTGTTTTTAAAATATTCAGTACAAGTCTAATAAGAGAAATGTGTGGGAGTTCCTAACTGGAACACACGACGTTAAGGTACCAGACATAACAGTTGATTTCCTCTGCTTTCGGTCAGAACTTAAAGTGGGGGAAACGCAAGCGGATGATGGGCACTTATGCGCTGAGAGATTCTGATCGTGGGGTTCTGGGAACAAAGCTGCTTTGTTCCTGAACCGTAGACCATGGGATCTGGGGAACCCCTGAGACCTTGCTTATCGGGTTGTCTGTTCCAAACCCAAGGTTTACACAAAGGTCAGGAAAGGGAAGTGCCCGTGGTGATTTGTGCGACTCAGGATTTCCCAGCCACTGACTCTTCAAGTGGGCTCACGGAGAGCTGCGGATCTAAGTGGCACGAGGTCCATTTCCACCCACCGGGAGCCTGAGACGGAGTAGAACATCCCCCACCCCTCCCCTGCCACGA